GACCGAATGAATGAATGAGTATGTGTTCGCAAAAACTAAGGCGTTTTGAACTCTGCAACATTTTCAAGATATGTCGTTTCGTATGACCGAAAAAATATCACTCAATGTTACCTCCATATATTATAAGTTGTGAAATGTTTTGAAAGTTAACAGTGAAATAATAAATCAAGACATAACCTCAAGGATTTTCTGCCTAGAACCATTTCGAAGAGCAGATTTCGGTAAATTGAATAAAAAAATTTTGAGAACATTCTTTAGGAAACTTCATATATGTTGAAAATGTTGCACCTATGCTCTTCATTCTGTGATTTTTACATGGTACCTCCATGCTTGATGCAGTGTTTAATTTGCAGCATTAATCTATCCTGCAGAATTATTTGGTATCTATATGAAATCATACGATAATGGGAATTATACCTTGAAGTTATTCATTCATGTGATTCTTCACTAGCCGAATAATTGCTTGTGTTGTCTAAATGAAAAAATAGAAAGCTCATGAACATATGATTTGTTAAAGGTTTCACAAACTCTTTTGATAAAAGTATAATATGAGTATGTTATTGGCTCTGTAAGATCCAAATATGGTTAGATCCAAATATGGTAAGATCCAAATATGGTAAGATCCAAATAAGGTAAGATCCAAATACGGTAATATCCAAATATGGCAAGATCCAAACATGTAAGATCCAAATATGGTATTGGCTCTGTAAAATCCAAAACTAGCACTTTTTTCAATCACCAGGACTGCAATTCAATTCTCGACGCGAGTTTCACCAACCAAGATCCCCAGACTTGGCTGGTGGTACGCGCGTCGAGAAGAGTAGTTATCACCTTCGCTTAACGACGAATAATTTCGGAAAAAGTGTTTTGTGTGAAATTAATTATGTGGTTCTATTGGAATAATTTTTGAAAAATAAAACTGATTACGGAATCTCCGAAGTTTGCCAGAACCACAATGCCAACTAAAACTGATTACTTTTTTCTGATATACATATATACTCAAAAAAAACAGTAAGGATTGAATCCTCCACACAAAAACGTGTTTCAAATAATAAAACAGATTACTTTCGTACTCTCAACAAAATTATTTTCACTTCTTTCGAGTATGGTGTTCAATCTGTGGGAAATCTGGATTTCATTTTCTGTCTCTATTCATATTAATGAGACATAGCGTCACGCTTCGTTTTTGAAGATTATAATATCGATGAACAGCAGTGATTTTTCAATTAATTTTTCATTGAAATTGTGATATGTGATGGAATTGACCGATACTTCATTTTTGGCGAGAGTCTCACATTAAAGTGTTACTAGAATATGTAATTATGATGTTCAGTCGACATATTCCTTTTCTATATGAAAAAAAGTTGATAGCGTTCTCCGGTGGCAAGTAAAACACAGTATTGTTTTCGCAAAAAAAATGGTGCCTTTTAACTTACATTTTGTCCGGCCTTTATATCCAGTTTCGTTCAAAGGTCAAGGCGTGGGCGACTTTTGACGTCCGCACTAATATGATCTAAATATATGAGTGAAAATCAATTCAATCATTATCAAACATCGTGAAAATAGTTGAGTGGATGTAGTCCTATAGTTCATAAGTAGTAATAAGTTACTCGAAACGAATAATTCCAATGTATGTTTCGTGATGTTTCGTATGAAATGGTTGAAATGTGACGATGTCATACAATCTAACACTTTCCTTTCAACCAGCGGATCACCTCTGGGAAGCAATTTAGCCCCTCTTCTCTTTTCATTATATGTGAATGACATATGTGAAAATATAACGAGCAGCATTATTTGAAGTCATTCAATCTCAAAGAGACTGTAAATTACTCCAAAAGGATATTAACTGTTTTACTTCTTGGTGTGAAACAAATAAACTACCCCTAAATATACAGAAATGTCGTTACACTACTTATACTATGAAAATCAAACTAGTGGAAAACACTTACTCAATAAATCAAATTATTTTGGATCGGTGTAATGTAACGAAAGATCTTGGCATTAATTTTGATTCTTAACTGAGCTTCTCATCGCACATAATCCAAACCGCATCGCCACTGAAACAAAGGCTTGGCTTGATTTTCAGAAACTGTAAAGACTTCAAAAATGAGGATAGCCTCATTGCTCTCTTTACCTCATATGTGAGAACGCGTTTAGAATATGGCTCGCTGATTTGCTCTCCTATTCACTTGAATCACATTCATCTGCTCTAATCAGTTGAACGAAAATACTTGAAGTATATTGTATACAGAATTGATGGAATTTATCCCGAACGAGGTTTAGATAATAACTTATTACTACACAGATTTTCGTTGCTATCTCTGGAGGAACACTATTGCAATTTTATATATAAACTCACAACTGAACTTCAGCATGCCCTGTTTGAACAGTAGAAGCTCACTCTGTTTTTATTTACCTACTCCAAAAACGAATATACTAACTATTGAAATCTCCAATTCATTCGATGTGCAAAAAATGCAATCAGCTATGCGAAAAAACTGATCTATTTTTGAGTGTTCAAAGGGGAAAAAACATATTCTTTCCACTTTGTAACGTTTAAAAAAAAGGTGAAAATCTACTCCTCTCTATTCATCCATGTTATTCATTCATTATGTTTTCTTTTCAATGATTTTTTTATTGTTATAATTTAACACATTCTCAAATTATCTAAAAGAGCAATTCGTTCAGGCCAATCTCAAATTACATACACTGGACTGACAGAAAACAACTACTCCCCTGGCTGATACCACGAAGGGCGTTGGACTATATCCGACAGGTGTCAGTGCAAGATTCTTCACTGAAGTCATTCCTAAAATGTCTAGAAGGCGAAACTATATTCTTCAAAAGCACGCCTTCGGGTAAAAACAGGAACTTTCTACTGTATTTTTTCAAGGAAAAAACACAAGCAATACAGAAAAATCCTTAAGGCACTTGTGCAAAGATAGTGATCTATATTGGATATGAATCGCTGCAGATTAAATCCACCAGGAAAATCGTTCTCAAGAAGTGCATTCCACATAAACGCCGTTACCCAAATGAAAGAGTTCTCAAACAGTGAAGTTCAAGGTGTACTGAGTTGAACCTAAAAAGGAAAGGCAGCCATAGTCCGTCACGTATTTCTGATATGTACCGCTCATGGTGGAATCAGATATGCCAAGTCACTTGAACACTTCACGTGAAATTATCTATAGAAGAGAGACAAATCTCCAATCTTTCTTCGATGTTTCAGACTAATAAGGTTGCAAGTGATGTTCGCTTCTCCAATCAGGCGGATGGCTCTTTTCTGGATGGAATTCAGCAGCTTCAGGGTATTTTTGGGGGGCGGAGCTCCATACATGAGAACAATACTCCAAAAAGGTCTCATCTGAGCTGTATGAACTATCAAAAGTTTTTGAGGTGTGTACAGTTTCCTGGTTCGGAACAGTGTTCCAAGCTTTTGAGAGCAGCCTTTGCAATTCCAGCGACTTGATTTGTGTCAAGACATATTGGTATCCATTTCAACCCCAATAAACTAATCGAAGCAGAAAGCGCAACCGATGCCTGGGTTTCTGTGGCATTGAATTGAACCTGGATACTTTCACCCCAATTCAAAATTACTTCTAGATCCTCATTGAGGTATTCAACCTCCTGCTGCCGGTGAAGATGTACATGCTCATCCGATGTCCTGGAATCCAAACGTAATGACGAGACATGTGTGCTGTGGTCAGCAAAGCAATATATTCTTAGTTTTTTTCAATAAGTCGTTGATGTACAATAAAAAGAGGGGTTGAAGACAATATGAATCTCTGGGAAACACCAGCGTTGATGGTGAACGTATTCGATACATATCAATCGACGACCACTGGCAGGAAACGTTCGTTCAGAAAGCTGCAGAGCCATACATAAAAATGATCCGACAAGCCATCTCATCAAAGTTTGGCCAGCAAACCCTCATACCACACACGGTCAAAGGCCTTAGAAATATCAATCACAGCAGCTCTTGACTTTGGGACACAGAGGGCTATCATACCTCATAAGTCTCTTGATCGTTCAACAATGATCTGGGTTGTTCCAGAATATTCCACAACGTTTCAGAATGTTGCAGGATTTTCTGGAATGTTTTCGAATAGTCTCGAATGTGTACGAAACCATCGTACACGGACATTATCATACATAATTCCTCCACACACCCGTACCAGCATAAAGTTGCTGCATTCAATAATATGAGTCACAGATTATTGAATATTCCACTGTCTGATAGGGATTTCCAGAAAGAGCTGAATTTGATCAAACAAATCGCGATTAATAACGGTTATAAGGTAGATATTGTAAGCTCCATTCTTTCCAAAAAAAAGCAAACCCTCATACCACACACGGTCAAAGGCCTTAGAAATATCAATCACAGCAGCTCTTGACTTTGGGACACAGAGGGCTATCATACCTCATAACTCTCTTGATCGTTCAACAATGATCTGGGTTGTTCCAGAATATTCCACAACGTTTCAGAATGTTGCAGGATTTTCTGGAATGTTTTCGGATAGTCTCGAATGTTTTGGACTGTTCTTGAACTTTCTGGAGGGCGAAACTTCCACTTTCCATATTTTCAAAAACGACTCCGCGCGTGCGAAGCCGAGTGGATTTCGTGTAAGTTGAAATTTACTCTGAAAACATTTCTTAGTCCAAGTTACGAATTTTGAAAAATAATTTTCAGATGAGAGAGTTATTTCGTTACTGTTTATCGCTATCTTAGCTATCATCATCAGTAGATGACTACAATCATGCGTAACAATAATGCAAAGTAGTCAGATTGTGAACATTAGGTCAGTGTTTAGTTTTCCAATCAATTGGTTTGTAACTGAAATATTTCTTTAAATTTGAGGCGATGTGGTTCTACTGGCAAATGATTCGAGCTTTAGTAAGCTTTTTCATTGTATGAAGTTTTTCTTAGGTTTAGGACTGTTGCTTTCAGAACATTATAATCAATTAAGGAAAAATATATCTGATGAATTGATCTCTTCTAGGAAGGAAAACGTAAAGAGTATGGTATAGGAAAAGCTTTGAGAAAGAAATATTCACATTTTCTGGGAGATTTTACATTAGACATTGTGGATTCCAGATGTACTGATTATAACAGAACAAAAATGTCTTTGCAGCTTGTACTCGCCTCCTTATTTCCCCCAACGGGAAAACACGTTTGGGAAAAAAAACTGAAATGGCAGCCTGTTCCTTTTAACTACTGGCCTGTTGATGAAGATCACGTAAGTATATTCTTTTTCGAAAGGTTTCTTGAAACTAATTCGTCGAATACCCATTTTTTTAATTCTCAAACCATGTTCAAAATGTTTGTTTGGGGGTGATTTGACAATGTTTCATGTTCATAGCCGTAAAAAGGAGGTTGAAAGATGTATCAACGCCAAGTACTCGGGTACAAAAAAAGCGCAAATACAACAGTCAAAAATCTTATCAAGTAATAACCACTCTACAATGATGGAAAAAATATCTCAGGTTATCAAAAATTATCATACCAATTGCAAATCATTGAGGACTCCAATGATTTCAAGCTCAATTGGAACCTTAGGAAGACACTCATTGTTTATTTAACGTTCCTCATGTTGACTTGAAATATTTTCTGAGATATCCATAAAGTACTCTCAATTACAGGCTGTTTCATTCAACAAATTATTGTATTTCTCTCATTGGTTTCGGTATTTCCGATTGGACTCAAAATGAAGATAGAAAATCAATGGAGTGTTTGGCGTCACAGTTTGTTGGTTGATGAAGAATCAAATTATTATCATCGAATATGTGGCATTAGCGAATCGAATGGTCGGTAACCAGTCAGCACGTTTTGAAATAATCAGTCTGCATGTCTGCAAAAATAAATAATTTTCTGAGATACCTCTACAATAACCACATCAAATATTTTGAAATAAAGAAACATAAGACTGATATCCAGACAAAGCCATTACCTACAGAATCTCATCAAAATTTCAGATGTCAATATTTATGATACTGCTGAATTGAGGCGAAGTTTTGGTATAAGCAGTTCTGAACATCGGTATTTTTTCAAAGAAATGTTTTTCTATCAATAGTTGTCAATCAGTTAAGTCAATTATCGATATGGGAAACTTTTAGTTCTTATCCAAAATTAAAACATTTCAGAAGAACAAATAAATAATTCCGCCAATGAAACTGAAGACTTGGTTAAAAAAATTGCAGATATTATGGCCCATTGACGCCATAACAACGGCAACAATGTAAAAAAATAATTTCCACCAGGGCCGTTGTGGTACCCAAGTGCCAATAAAATGAAAGTTTCAGAAGAGTCACGGAACTTGCACAGAAAAACACATGTTTTGAAATGTCGTCAGCTTGAGGGTCTATAGACAATGAATCAGCGTTCTTGAGAAATCATTCGGCCTTTTCACGGGTAGTTCTTCACGATGAAATAGAAGTCTAACACAAAATTGTAAAATTTGGCAAGTTTTCGTGAATTATTCAAACTCTGTTTATCTTCTTCATCTATGATCAGAATATGTATTGATATCACTTAATTGTTCAGAACTCTTGTTATTATTGGTGTTATTTGCTTATGCGGCACACATATCCAAAGAATAACATGTCGTACACTATGAAATCAATTTAGTACACACACACAAAAAATAGTTTCAGAACCCGTTTCTCATGGGGCATATGATTTTATCAAACTTCATCATTTCATTCATCGAAAATAGTTTTCCCATACCAAAACAAAATACTATTTCTCTACGCGCGTTTTGCTAATCAAGTCAGACTAAAACTTGTTTCAGTCATCTTCTGATGATGCTAACTTGGTTAATGCAACGTGCTTCGAGAAACTGTATTGTTCTGGTGTGGAAAAGTTTTTTTTTATCATTTCAATTCCATTGCTAGATAAATTCTGATACATTTTATCATAGTACTATCGTGAACTTTCTAGATCTATAGATCTACCTACGACACCTTTCATTAAATATTTATGGTTGAACAGGTTTTAGGAGATCCCCATGCAAACTGTCCTCGTTTCCAAGATTCCTATCTTAAATTCCTGAATTCATCAGAAGGTCAAAAGTTATACGAGAATTTTACCGAGATCATCAAGCATTTGGAGCTTAAAACAGGACAGCGCCTCTACAGTAAATCGTTTGCAGAACTTTATTTCACACTGACAACGGAGGTGAGTAGTTGTTTATTTTTCGAGGTGAAATTCAATCAAATATGTCTCTGATCATTTATTTATCACACCGATACGAACCTGCATGCACTGCAGCGTAGAAAGCTTGTTGTTTGAGAAAGTTTCGTGTTTTGGTACGTTTTAATCGACTGTCATGTTTCGTATGCACGTGTTGCATGATATGTCTGCGAACTATTTTTGGAACTATTGACTATTATCAGGATAGTATTACAACTTTAACCTCATAAATAATATATATTGACCCCTCAAGAACAGCTGATCTCAATTAATACCTAAAATGTGAAGTGATTTATCTGTTTGAATTATATTTCGAAATAACAAATACACGCAACGAAGTTCGAAAGGAGAGTCAACACAGCTGATCAATAATACCTCGTGAACTGACAAAAACATACAAAATACGCTGATTGTTAAAAAATAAGATAAGTTTTCATTTTTCTCAAAAAAAAGTGTATTTATTCATCAATTCTATTTTGACCCCGTCAAAATTGTCCTTCTCAGATGAAATTCACTTGTGTCATTAAAGCACATCTGCCATGCACTTTTTGGTATGTACTTGATATCTCTTAGCGATTTGGTTTTTATCTCCTCAATCGTCGCAAAACACCATATTTTCATAGGTCTTTTCAATATTGGGAACGAAAAAAATCACAAAGGGTCATATCTGGTGAATACGGTGACTGAAGCATAATAACGGTGTTTTTTTAATCTTGGTATTGCTTCTCGCAAGCGGCGACCATGTGGCAAAAAATCCTGGAACACTACGCTACAAACTTGACGTGCTTTTTTGGTATTGGCTCATCTGAGCTCTTTCATTGGGACGATGGGATGTTAGTTTCGATGTCATAACCAAATACTCATGATTCATCACCAGGTATAACCCTCCCATGCAAATATGGATTACTGTTCACGTCATTCAACAATTCCTGATTGATGCTCATGCCACGGTTCTTCTGGTCAAAATTCCGCAATTTTGTGCGAACTTCGCTGGCACACGCTTTATGCTAAAAATTTCCGAAAAAATGGCATGGAATGAGCCAACCGATATGCTGAGATTTTAAGCAACTCCTCAAATAGTGATTCGACGATTCTTTATGACAATTTTCTTCACTTTCTCAAAATTTTCATCGGTTGTTGATGTGCTGGGTCATCCAGGACGTTATTCATATCTTCTTGACTGTCTGTGAAAAGTTTGTACCTCTTATATAAACATTTTTCTGACTCAGAGTACAATCACCGTACGCCACTATCAGCACTTCGAATGTTTTTGAGCACTCAATTCCATTTTTACACAAAATTTTATGCAAATTCTTCAATCCATTTTATTCGATAGCAGAAAATCGCGAAACACTCAAAACACTTTTATGACTTTTATGCGCCTCACCAACAAACTAAACACGCTAAACAGCTGAAACTAGGAACAAATGTTCAAATGAAAAAAATCGCTAATCGAATGAACGCAACCCCCGTAATTTGAACATTTACCGTATTTTTTTACAGCCTACGTACGAAACTAATATAAATAAAATTGCAGAGTGAATATGGCCTCGATATCCCCGAATGGTCTAAGGCCGCCTACCCATTCATAAAGCATTTAGCGATTTTAGACTACAATACAAGTTCGGCGACAGACCTACAGAAGCGACTTTCCACAGGTAACTATTCAAATTTCGAAATTAGGTGGGTGAAACAAAACAAAAATAATAATATGCTCTTAAGATTCAGTTAGGAATTGAAAAACTTCCAAACATGGACTTGTTTGCACTTGTGTGAATGGGTATATAGTGAGGATGTAAACGGTCCTCCTCCCCTTAACTTTTGACCGGAATAAGCTATCGAGGTCAGGAAAATTTCAGGTAAAAAGGTACTACTTTTACTACATTTACTACTTTTACTACACGTGGCTGATCAATTTGAAGACCTTCCGTTTCTTTATCCAACACTGCTGTGTTTGTGAAAATATGTTAAGCCGTTTCAAATTGTTAAAATAGGTGGGCATATTATTGGTATTAAAATAGTTGAAATTTTACTAATAATTTTGTTACAATTAGGAGTTATTTAGATTTCAAATTCATTTGTAACATATTTGAAGCAAATTTCAAACGCTTGTCAGTTTGAAACGGATTGGCCAATTTTCACAAACATAGCGGTGTTGGATGGAGAATCGGAAGGCCTTCAAAACCAGGAGCCACATGACCACCCTTTACGTTAAAAGCAAAAGTTGATGGTGTTCTCTTAACAATAGGCCATGTGACCACAATCATTTTTACAACATAAAGTAGTAAAAGTAGTATCATTTTACCTGAATTTCACCCAACTTCGATAGATTGTTCCGTGCACAAGTTAGGGGAGGAGGACTTTTTACGTCTTCACTGTATAATCAAAATGTTTAACTTCATTTCTAATTCTGATATATCGAGTTTTTCAAATTCCAACATATTCTTAGGTATCCCTATTGGAAACGCGTTCAACTTTGGTTTCAACATTTTTTGATGATCGTTAAAGGAAATTCTACGGAAACTTATCGAATGCAGGAACCGTATGTTATAGACAAGTATAGTCCGGTTCACAATTTTATGAACATTTTCATCGAAGAGTAATGAATCAGATAGATAACTATTGTTTTCCAAGAAAAAACAAAAAAAGTGTTAATATAATTTATGAATAATTTTCCTTCTAATTTGATTATACATTGCGGGCGTAAATAATCCAACCCATTTCGACTTTTGTAGGAAACAAGGCAAAAAAATATCCTTTTCAGTACAGCAATCAATGAGGAATCGAAAGAACAATTCATTGAAATCTCAAACTTCAGACATCTGTTTAAAAAAAAAATTCCAGAATTACAAAAACGGTTACAAAAACGGTTTTGTCAGAACTTACTTTATTTTCGAAAATCTATTTTCTTGGTAGTTATACCTTACGGTGAGTTTTCGATGCCTCACTCTATATGTGTATATGTATATGTAAAATGGGTATATATGTATATTCAGGAAAAAAATGTTTTTGGCTTTCTACATTTCCATCTTTGTACAAAATATGTGGGAAACTTTCGAAAGAAAAAAAGAAAGCAATCAAGTTCAAAATAAACTCTTTATAAAGATGTATGGTTCGTGGGTGGAAGTTTTCTTCAGACAAAAACTGGGAAAAAGCCCCCTTTCAAAACAACTACTTTAATGGAAAAGAAAGTTTTTGGCTTTCTACTACTCCATCTTGATACAAAAAAAAGAAGGATGAGGGAGTCTTCCAAAGAAAGGAAGGAAGTAACTCTATACATGGATGTGTAGATCATGCAAAGAAGTAACTTTCAGACACAAAGTGATAGAAAGTCCTCCTGAAACAGCTACTTTCATATAAACATTGAATTATACGAAAGAAAAATCTTCTGTATAATTCAGTGTTCATATAGAAGTATTTGTTTCGAAAGAATTTTTTCTTTCGTATAATTCAATGTTTATATGAAAGTAGCTGTTTCAGGAGAACTTTCTTTCAGTTTGTGTTTGAAAGTTACTTCTTTGCATGATCTACACATCCATGTATAGAGTTACTTCCTTCCTTTATTTGGAAGACTCCCTAATCCTTCTTGTTTTTGTATCAAGATGGAGTAGTAGAAAGCCAAAAACTTTCTTTCCTAAAAATTGACCACTCGTAAAAAATATAACCCCTTTAATTCGAACTACTTCAATATTGAATCACAAGGGATGTCTTTTTCTTCCAGTTTATGTCTGAAAGTAATTTCTATGCATGATTTACACATCTTCGTAAAGAATCAATTTTTATCTCAATTGCTCTCTGCCTTCCTTCAAAAGTTTTCCTTCTGTAGAAGTAGAAAGGCAAAAACCTCTCTTTACCAAATTTGATAACTTCTAAGAATGTACCCCTTTCAAATCATACAAAATTTTGAATTTATCACTCATATTCATATTATTGTTATTATTGTCAATTATTTCTGTGTATGATACAAACTAGAATAAGGGCTGGAAATATCTTCAGGCTCAATTTTGAGAAAGTTTGTTCGAGAGACTAGTATTATCAATATAGGTTACTAATTTCAGAGCAGCCTGACGATGAGCAAACTTATTCTAAGTGAAAACGCCGTTATCATTAACTTTTTGCGTTTTATTTTCAGGATTTTTCATCAAAAAAATTATTGACGACTCCGTAGCGAAATCTAAAGGGAAGGAACATGAACATACAAAGATTTTTCTTTATAGCGCTCATGAGTCAAACATAGCAGCCGTACTCAGATTCTTAGGAATATTCTACAATCACATACCGCCTTACGGAAGTTACATAACTTTCGAAATTCACAATGTCAAAGGTGTGAGAGGAATTAAGGTGAGAAGATTACGGAAATAATGAAACGCTTCTCAACTGTTATTGTATTCCTTAAATTTGTCTTCGAATATTTTCACGTCTATTCTTGGCATCATTTTCTAGGCTATAGGCTTAAGTGTTCAAATAACACACAAATATTTTCATAAAACAGTTTAGAAAACCGCAACACACTACACACTTGCTTCTTCAGACATGTTCAAGACAAACTGAATTATATCTAGGTTATTCCTCGCATTTACATCACTAATTTCAATTGTAATGATAGTTCCTAGCTACATGATGAATAATAATTAAACATCATAAGAATAAACTAACTAAATTGAACTTCAAAATAGAATTACTATGGAATTGGTATTCGCATTAATAAGACCGCTTTTTGCCTTTATATTTTTGTTTGGGACCAGAAGTACAAGTCTACTCAGAAACTCCTGATCTATCCAACATCGAAATGTTGTTATTGAAAAAATTCGCTGATCGTAATATCATAACATTGAACCAAAACATAACATTCTGCAAGCATAGAATGTTCACGTATCGAAAGAAGCTAGCTGTGATACAGATACAGAGCGCAAAAGAATTTCGACAATAACAATTCATTCCCAAATATTGCCATCCATGTGTTCAATCTTTGTTTGGCAAAGCCTAAAGCGATGCCAATGACAGATTCAGGTCCGATGAAGCTGCTTGCAGCACCCTCCTTTGCAAGGGAGTCGACAGCTTCATTGCCTTCCAGGCCAGTATGGCCAGGAATCCAGACCTGAGACAATCTGTTAAGTCTTCATATCTTTCAATCTTTCCGCACACAATTCAATAGCGTAAATTTCCACTTGAAATACAGTCGCATAGTTTCCTAGGCAGGTTGATATCTCTGTCCTGGGTCTGCGACTGAAAATACCTGAATCAGAACCGGAAGGTGATCCATCTGTGAACCAACAACTATCAATAGTAAAATCAGCTAAAAACAACCGGTAGGTGTAAATTCTAGTGAAACCAATACTAATTTGTTGACACTGAATGTAGGTACGTTCTCATGAACAAATTTGAACATTTCCGAAATGAATCATTATGTTAACACGTGGCGTACCTAAGACATGGTTGCTCTGATATATATTCTCTCAACATTTTTCCTGTCAACCATGAACCTTCTTTACTATTGTTTATGTTTCTCATAGCGTAGGGTATAACTGTTGATAATAATATCATCACTCCGATTCTTGAACATGGGGTGATTTGATTTATTTAACGAAAAACATTTTTTATTCTTCTTCTCATTATTAATTTTCGCATAAATAATGGGTTTGAAAAAATATTGTTTTTCAATTACATATATTGTAAATTATAGACAAAAACTTGGCAAATTGTTATCATACTTTCACCAAACTGATATATTTGTAATAGACCCCTAGTTGTTTCAGAGACAACAATCTTCATAAACGAAAAGATTTTTTGTCGTTTTTTCATACGTTTGATTGAGGCTTTTTATAATACCTGTCAAACGAAAGAAGAAGTTAAGTTAAAATTTGAATGAAATATAATATACCACCTATGCTATAAAATTTCCAAAATTGTTTTCATGCGTTTGCTAAACTCATTGATTTGTGTTATTTAAGTGAATAATTGATGAGGAAAATTGTAAATTGATTTTGGATATTCAACTTTGAAAAAATCAGGTATATTCTGAGAATATTTCGTCAGCATTGAACTGGTTGTAACTCAAAACTGATAATACATGTAACTGAATAATGTATACTACATTCTCCATTAATTTCAAAAAGAAATTATAAGGAATGACATAAAAAATAGAAGATGGTGCAACTTCCATGAAGTTTCAGTATGATCAAATACAAATAACTTTAATCTTGAATTTCAAAAAAATAATCATATTCACCATTAGTTAGTCAATCTATTTTATCATTGCATTTTCCTCATGTTTTAACACCTACCCTAGTGAATGAAAATTTTGATCGCAATTGTTTATTGTTTATCCAGGTTTATTATCAAGACTACAGCTCCGAGAAGCCGAAAAAATATAAGATACCGAACTGTGAAACATTTTGCACATTGGAAAGATTCGAATTGCTGTATAAACATTTACTACCAGAATCAGATCAGGAATGTTTTGTGGCTACATCAGAAGGGAGGATTGTTGAAGAAATCTGAGTCATATTGAACATTCACATAATGTGCTGGTTCATAAATTGTCACCTACACAAATTCTTTTTTTGTTCATCCTTCCGTCCACTTTTCTGATTCTTATTGTTTTGAATAAATAGTTATGTATATATAACACCTCGATTAGAACAAAGACTAGCAATAATAAAGAAAGGATAATTGAAACTTTCTATGTTTTTACCACTTCTATTTGTTACTAACGTTACTGCAGTTTCGTCCTATAAGGACATTTTCAAACTTATACATTAAACCACATTAAATCTGACCATTATACACAATCAAAATAAATTTGAGTTCAATGTTTTCAGAAAACCTAGCTTTATATGCATTACCATCCCAAGTGATTCTTTCCATCCAGACAGTCATAAATTAGCAGTCTACAATTCAGTGTTGCATGCAAATGGGTAACTCTAACTTATTTTGGTAAAAGAACAGAGATAATTGCGGGTTTCTTCAGAAAAAACAATGTAGAAGTGGCATGCCAAAGATAAAGTGGACAAGTTGAAGAAATCTGTAGTTTATAAGCTTAAGTGTTCGGAGTGTAATAGTATTTAAGTAGGACAATGTGGTCGAAATTTCCAAAAATGGTATGCTGAACATGAACGTTCCTTCAGACTAGATAAAAGTGATTCGACGTTTTCAAACCATTCCTTGGCATACAACCACAAGCTCCCGAATCTAAACGATACGGAAATTTTGCAATATGCAAGGAAGAGTTGCAAACTAAATTATTTGGAATCCTTGGAAACTCAGGAGCGTGAACATTGCGGGTGCAACCTGTTAAATGATCAAATCGATCAAGGTCACTCACCGATTTCCAAATTATCATATCCACATTGTCACAAGTAAACAAAATTCAGGTACTCAATTAAGCTAAGGACCTCTATTATTACCTACCGTGGTGTTATATAAGAGCTAATTTAATCAAACATTTTTAGTTTAATGTATAAGTTCGAAAATGCAGTAACATTAGATACAAATAAAAGGGGTATGATTATTATTTCCCACCACGTAGTAACGGCTGCATTCATCAACTTACTAGCAATATTTCTTAGGAAACGGAAGTCTTCTATCGTTATATCACTCCTCGTAGGTGGTAATAAAAGTAATATTAAAAATTTAATGTTCATTAACAAACTATTCTCATATATCACTGAAAATCGATTGAAAAAATTACACACGAAATTATTTCAATAAACAAGATGATAACAATGACATGTTTTCTTCTCGAGGAGATCTGTATATACCAATTCAGGGTAAAACTCCCTATATGCGAAATTGTCAGATATTCATAGTTATTGCAATGATATTGAAACGCTGAGATTTTCTTCCTCGGATTTTAAAACTATATGAAATATATTTCCATTGATAGTTAGTTATCAGTTATTGGTTCATTGCATATCGTTGTTTTTATTTTCATTTCACAAAATTGAATTTGCAGCATATTTATATACGTACGAGTATGTGTGTATGTTAGTTCGGGTAAAATCTTGCAACTGAATTTTAATTCAGTTGCAAGAATTAATGGATTTAAAGGACACTATTTTTGTTATGCAGATGATACAGCTCTGATCTTCACAGGAGAAACATGGGAGGACGTAAATAAAACTACCGAGACTGACTTGCAAAAAATACACGACTGGCTAAACTTAAACAAACTCACCCTGAATATTGAAAAAACAAAATTTCTCACATTTACGCCAACANAGCAAAATTGATTTTTTCGATGTCAAATTTCAAATCATCCATATTCATAAATATAGTGAAATTACGGTTCAAAAATATAAACTATGTTCGCCTTTGTGATGATGATATTCACTTCTTGGATTGGTGAATACTAGCTGCTGTCGTCAACACAACTCAACAAATACTCAGTAACTATTCAATTACGTTAGGTAGTCTGAACTCAGTGAGAATATATGATACACTAAGCTTATATAGAAAATCATCCTCGAGGGGGGAGTTCAAGGTTATGCATCGATGACAGTTATATCTCAAGGTCAAAGCACAAGTCCAGAGCCATGCCTCGAGGACCTACGATGTGACATCATACAATGTCAAATGTCGAGGTCACGTATTGAGCAAGGATAAATCTCAAGGTCGAACCGCATGGTCATATTGAACGTGCATATGAGTTATCTTTCAAGACCAAACTTCAAGGTCACATAATATATCAATATCAATATAAGAATAAGAATAAGAATTATCCTGAACTTGATGAAGCTGAAATTTTTAATACACGTTTAGCTGCAATGGCATTGCATAGTGACGTTATGCAATGTGACGTTAAGTGACGTTATTATACATCCAGAATTGTGGAAAACCCAATATATAGAACTTTTTGGCACCAACACGATATAGGTATTATCCACTCTAAACCCAATATGGTGGACCACCGCCATATATAGAGTAGCCAACCGCCCACTAGCCCGGCACGGCACAGCCAAGCGCGTCCGCCGCCGGAAAGGATTCCAGCTCTCCGATCCTGACCGGCAAATAACGGAACGTGCTGTGACGGACTGGCAAAGTGAGCGCGTCGCCGGCCAGCATCAACTTGTTCAAAAGTTCCTGGGAAGTTTCTGTCTTTCTGTTTTGCTTTTCTATCAGTTGACAACACAGTGTCAGACCAATGAAAATGGACGAGGCAAAATTGAGTTGCTTGTTGAAGCAGGCTCTAGAATATCCAGAAGTTCTCAAAATTTGCCTGGACCTGGAAAAATGTCTCCTCGTCTTCTTTCAGATCGTTGAAAAGATGATGAAACTCCCAGATTTGCCCTCTTTTGATTAATGGGATGGACCCACAACATTCTTTTTTGTGACTATTTTCTTCTACATTTAATAATGCGGCCATTATAATGACGACTTCTTCGCCAGGACTGCTCGTCATAGTCATGTTTCCATCACCGCTCGATGTCAAATGAAATTCCATTGAAATCGAACAAACAGCACCTTCAGTATGCTGGTTGTAGCTGGACAAGTGGGCGATGCTTAGGGTTCCCAACCCTCCCGGAACACCCAGGAGACTCCGATAAAAATGGTTAACCTCCTGACCTCCCGGAGAGCAATCATTTTTCCGGTTTTTCTAAAAATGAAATGCATCCAACGCTCGCTCGTCGCTATTAACTCGCGTTGCGGCCGCAACATCGGGCGCGCCCAACTCCGCTGCCTGCCGGTCTAAACCTGTTCGTCTCATCGCCGCGGCGTCGACGATGTTGTTTCGGCGGGGTCTCTTTGCACGTCCCGTGCGTAACAGAGACGCGTTTTCTTTCAATGACCTGTGGTTAAAAGAACATACGTGGTTATCGAAAAAAGATGAGTTCACAGCAAAATGTAACTTATGTCAACATTTATTTTCGGTCAAGTTGGTTCTGTGAAACAGCATGAAAAATCTTAGTCATCACAGTTATAATAGTCAAGACTGCGGACACAAATTGAACGCTGTCACTTTTTCTGATTCAACGACTGCAAAAAAGTATCATGCGAAAAAACAAAAGCGAGCAGTATTGCCAAAAATGTTTTAGGGTCGGGTTGTCAAGAATCCCTAATTATTAATTTGAAAATAAGTCAATATT